AAATTTCCGAACACAATTTTTTAGAACAACTATTTTACTGTATAAAAATGATATTTTCATAAATATAACTTAAAACTAGCAGGAGCACAACTCAAAAGGGTAAAGGTACCGCGACTTAAGATTTTCCTGAATAATTCTTACATTATTTGATTGTTTGTTAATTTTACAACTTTACCATATTTTGCATACACTGGCGAACATTTGGTGAAAATTTGATGAAAATCGGACTGATATTGAGCGCGCAGTAGCGATTTTCCGCAAAACGCCAAAAAGGGTGTCCTGTAACCTTAAGCTAAACGGGCTTTATACAACCAGCCCCTGATCAGTCAAACCCGAATTTTTGTCTCTGTACCAATGGAAAGATCTGGTCTATGTTTCTCAAATATCTAGCGAAAATGGACCTCATTCTAATGTTATCTAAATTTTCCGGTCAGATAGGTCTGAAGCCCAAACGTTTTGTGTTCCATTCGACCGTTCTGGCCGTGTTAATGGAAAGCGCCCTAAGAGGCTAAGATATCCTTCTCTCTTTTGATAATATGGTAAATAAGATAACATCTTGTTTCTTTGCTACAATAGATTGATGGTATTCTCTTCTATCACAAACGAGCACATTACCACCCAGGAAACACGCCTTTGGTCGGTTGGCTTAAAGTGTACATGATTCCTGAAATAATAGGCATGGATGTTCCCGACAATTACTTGCAAAATGTCCCCAAAGTTCATAAATTAACATTGGAAAAAGAGAATGAAAAGTTTCGGGAGAAAGGGATGAAAGGAGGTGAGATGGAAATAGATAAAGAAAGAAAAAAGCGAAGGCAAAAAAATACGAAAAGCAGGGACATGGTTGTAGATGAATCTGGCTCTACAGAAGGTGGTAATGAAGAAGAGATGGAATAAAAGAATTCTGTGATATGGTGTTTACTGCGGTAGGATAAATTTGTTACACTGTGAGTGTCAAGTCTATTATCCTCGGTCTCATCAAATAGCGATTATGATTTCATGTCCTGCACATACTAAATATGCAAATAAAGACAGGAATAACATTGACTAAACAACACTGATCCCTAACCGCTACTAGAGTCTTTAATTAAACAGGTTCAGGTAGGTTTAGTGGGTCAGGCATTTTCATCCAAGTTGGTATGCGTGTTTATGCGTGTCTGTCAGCATGATATTTTAAAAAATATCAAACGTATTAATCAAAATTTGTGTGACTAATGGACATTGCCCAAGGTCAAATTGATTAAATTTTGGTCAAATGTGGGGAAAATTAGATGAAAGATTAGCAAACGTTCGTCTTGCTTTGCAGAGTGAACTGAATGCATAATGGTATAATATGAGTATACAATGGTATAATCTATGCATGCAGGGGCGTAGGAACTTGGGGGGCAGGAGGAGCCAGCCCCCTCCCCAAGTTTTGCCAAGTGCCATTTTTCTGGGAGCAAAGTGCCCTTTTCTTGCGTGAAAAATTGTCATTAAGATTGCATTTTTTTTGCCCAAAAGGCACTTTCGAAAACTTGAATCTATGTTATTTCGGGAAAATTTTTTTCATTTCCGAAAAATATCATATATCCGGAAATTTTTTCGGTGTTTAGTAAAAAAATGTGGTATATTTGGAAAATTTGTTTGGTATGTCTGGAAAATTTTTTTGAGATGACCCCCCTCCCCCCAACATTTCCGGGAAAAAATTTTTAGATGCCCCTTTTTTTGGAAAAGTGCCCTTCAAAGCCTCCCCCCCCCAACTTTTAGAAGCTTCCTACGCCCCTGTATGCATGGATACATCCGAGTGCCCTCTAGGTATTGTTATTTAGTGTATCTAGGGCATATGACCACATGTGATATGAAATTTTGCAATGTATGACCCTAACACATATAGTTCAACCAATCAGAGTTCTGTAATTTTAGCTTATCATCAATGGTTATTACGTTATATTAACGTGCACACATAGCATGCCGGCCACCATCAACAGGGACAGTCACACCAGTAATGTAACTTGCATCACTTGATGCCAAAAATGCAATTGTCTTTGCTACTTCCTCAGGTTCACCGACTCTGCCCAATGCATGCGTTGTTTTACTTCGTTCTAAAAACTAAACAAGAAATCACAGTATTAATGAAAGAGAATCGAGTGCAATTTGGTCAAAAATCGAACAAGCTCAAAACGGCTGTTGCAAAACAAGAATTTTACCTTTTCAAATGTAGTTTGGTCTAGAGGTTCAATCCCTCGTGTGTGCATACCAGTATTTATGACTCCTGGACTAGGAATTTAAAAAAGTATATTTTATTTATTAAAAATCTTTACATGTATGGTGTGATTTTCGTACATTCAAAAAATAAAATGCGCACAATTGTTCAAGTCCCTCTGTATCATTTCAATATATGCTTACTTTACACTGTTTACTCGCACTTGTTTCTCAGCCAGTTCTATAAGATTACAATTAAATTAGAGAGGCATTCATACTAGAGAATATTTGGCACTACAAAGGTGTTCCTATGAGAGAGGTGTTCATATGAGCAAGGTGTCTGTATGAGAGAGGTGTTCATATTAGAGATGTGTCCCTATTAGAGAAATGTTCCTATTAGAGAGGTGTTTGCATTAGAGAGAGGTGTTGTATTAGAGAGAGGTGTGGTATTAGAGAGGTGTTCATATTAGAGAGGTCTTCATATTAGAGAGGTGTTGGTATTAGAGAGGTGTTGCTCATATTAGAGAGGTTCTCATATTAGAGAGGTATCTGTAACTATATATAGGCTTAACTCAGATAAAATATGCATACTTAGTCTGCAGCCAAACTGAACAATTGTTTACCTAATGAGATGCAACGAGTAAATTGATCCATTGCAGCTTTGGATATACAGTAAGGTAACACTCCTGCAAACTAAAATACAGATATACGGGTGTTTAGATTGGTTATGTGATATTTAGAGCAAGCCTGGGAGCATTTTCATACTTGAAATACAAGCTAGGGCAGTGCTCAAGTGAAAAATTATATACATTTTTATGACCTAACAGGGATTAGTTTTTGTAAAAAATGTACACGGTAAAGATCTGGCGATGAAACTTACTGATCTCATACCAGTAACACTAGAAACGTTCACAATACATCCTTAAAGAAACAAAACTCGAAATAGAATTCAAGTAAAATGTCAACATTTACAAAATTATCTGTAATATACATAAAATGTTTGTACCTTTAGTTTTAACCAGATGCGGAACACAAAGTTGGGTGATTTGAAATACCGATCTAAAAAACACAGACATTTTAATGTCCTGCATTTAACCCTTTAAGTTGCATTGTGCCCTACTTTATTATTTTACTCTGACTGTCTAACGCCAGATGATTTCACTCGTCAGGGGGAGAGTGCTGCACTCAATGGGTTAATCGGTTAACCCATCAAGTTAAATAACAAAGATGAGTACCTTCCAAGTAAAACTGTCTGGTGCTAGAGAGACTAAAAAGTATGGGGTACATATATTGCATGATGGACAAGACTTGAGCAAATGGTCTGGTTAATGGACCTATTCCCTAATGAACACAATTTTGATCTAGACAAGTCTATACAAAAATTTCATCACAGCTTCAAAGAGATCACAAAATTAGTAATATTCCGAAGTTTCATTGCAAAATGTTGTAAAATGCGGATAATATAGCCTTGCGAAGTTTGCTGTTTTTCAGTCATTTTGTATTACGCACGGGAAATCACAGTTAATAGAAATAGGAATTGATACCTTTTTTCAGAAAAGCGGTATCAATATCCCGTGCGTAATACAAAATGACTTAAAAACGGCAAACTTCGCAGGGCTATATAATCCACATTTTACAACACTTTGCAACAGAATATTACTAATTTTGTGATGCTCTTTCAAGCTGTGATGAAATTTTTGTCCAGACTTGCCTAGATCAAAATTGTGTTCATTAGGGAATAGGTCCATTGATTAATACTCTAACACTTTGTTTTTCATTATGTATCTGGTTTTAGACAGAAGAGAGTTGTATTAAATGTGTGTCTTTGTTGTGAAAGTGTGTGTGTGTGTGTGTGTGTGTGGGGGGGGGGGGTGTTAATAGATGTATTCCTATAAAATATGGGGTTCTATTAGAGAGGATGGAGGACTTATAGAGAATTTATGCTACCTCATATTTGTATTCATAACTTTGTCATAATCTTCTAAACTTGCCATTTCAATTGTTCCCCGGCTCAGTATTCCCGCACTGTTGATCTAAATGGGGTGGGACAATGTACATGAAAGCATCATCAATTCACTATTCGGTACCAAGGTGTAAGCTGGGACGGCTTCCTTATTAAAGATGCAGTACAGTCTGATCTGCGCATGTGCACAAAGGAGCCCTCTTTATTTACAAACAGTTTATTTAGGTTTTTATTTCATTTTATGTTCTTGCAAAGCTTGATTGTTGTGTCTTGATAATTTATTATACTCTAGAATCATGAAAATATAAATAGTTGTCGAATCAAATTCAATATTTTGGATACCGAAATGTAAACAAAGCCTTTGTTTACATACGGACTGTACCACATCTTTAAAATAAAAAAGGTTAACCGTCTGACACATGACTGCTAAACTGTAAGTATTCAACTAATGCCTAAGCATAGTTTCAAATTATTGATAGTGTGGATTGTCATCATTAATTAGCTATAAATTTATAAAATTGATCATATATATGCATAATCCAAACTTGGGGCACACTTCAGAATCAAGGCTTACCAAAATGTCCAGTTGACCAAAGTGCTGTATGGTTGATTCAACCATGCGTTTTACATCACCCTCATTAGCTACATCTGCTTCAATGGTCAACACCTGGGTTAAAAACATGTTCAGCACATATCTACTAACTCTCCAGCATTTCGAGGGAAACTGCTGTATTTTTATGTGTTGCAGGGCTTGAAATAACAGCCGATCAATGATTGGCAAAAAATTGTACCCTACTTTTTTTGCATTTTATTCTGTCTAATGCCAGATGATTTTACTTGTTAAAGGGGAGAGTCTTGCTCATTAGTGGGTTACCTTCTATAGTAACACTGGAGCATTGATGGTCCTTACTGACCTCTACTAATTAACTGTTAGAAATCTAGTATTAAACAAAGTTATTTTTGTTTCATACCATGGACCAGAGGCAATGCATAGAGGGGATTTTATTGGTTTTGCAGGATGGGAAAAAAAACTTAGGATTTGGAATTTTAAGGAAAGTATGACATTGTATTTTGTCAGTGAAATGTGACTAAGATTTGAAGGATTGTCAGGATTTTTTATGTTAAAAATTTTAAACTATACAGCACATACATCACTGGTTTGCATATGTTTTCTGCATTCTTGTGCAGTTTTTGCAAGTCCATCTAAAGACCTTGCAGTTATTGCAATTTTACAGCCCATAGTTGAAAAATGAACTGCTGTTACTGCTCCAATTCCTGAACTACCACCTGTAGAAGTGAACAAGAGAATGAGCCACAACAAGCCCTACCGCACTGGGCACACTACATGTCTTTACTGTTTAACAACACAGCATTATTTTACTTCTCAACTAGGCAACTAGGGGGTTAACAGGTTAACCCATTAAGTTGCATTGCACTATAATTGTGCCTTACTTTACTATTTTACTCTGTCCACTGCCAGACAATTCTACTTGTCAAGGAGCGAGTGCTGGTGCTTCAATGGGCTAATGAGATTACCTGCCCATGTGCATGTATCTAGTTCACCCATTAAGTTGCATTGTGCCCTGAGCCCTACATTATGGGGCTTTGGTGGCGAAGTGGTTAGAACATATGCCTTTCACCTCTTAGGTCCCAAGTTCGATTCTTAATGAGGAACTTTCTCAATGTGAGTCGAACCCAGTCCTCATGTGAAAAGAGTAAAAGTTCAACGATCTGCCGAAAGTCGTGGGTTCTCTCCGGGTACTCCGGTTTCCTCCCACAGGGTCATATAGGTCAGGGGCCAGATCCATCCCCCCCCCCCCCCTGGAGAATTTGCTTGTTTAGTTGAAGGTGGGAATTTGACCTTTTTCAGTGGAAGGTGGGAATTTGCTTAGGGGAATTTGACCTCACTTGAAGCTGACTTTGTTCTTTTTAAACAACCCAAATGAGCATCAACAATCTCACAGTTCAGCTTGTTGTGCTGAATACAAAATGGCGTCAATGCAGGGTCTTAGCTAGGATTTTAGATCTTGGGCGTGTTTCTAAAGACCAGGGCGTGCACATGTCAATTACCTTGAATAGCAAAATCACGGTTCTAGTTATGCTCGCCAACAACAGACAATGCCTGTGGTTGTTCTATGCTTTGCAACCAAATACAAGGTGAGCATACGCTCATGTTGCGCACTGACATTAAAATATTAAGTTATTTCAGCAACTCTTGGGGGTATTTAAAACCATTTTGACACCATATACACTTCCCATTATCCATCAAAATATTAAAACATCACGAATCACTTTTGCCAATTCAACAACAACAGTAGATTTTACAAACTTTCTTACGATGTAAATAGGAAGAAATTATGTCTGTTGTAAGTAGCACCACCTTATTTTATGAACCTACACGGCCTTATATAAATATTGAAACCGCGTTCATTTTATCTAGCCGTGTTTTTCCACTTTTGGCCGCGATAACACGGCCAACACGGCCCTCTAGCTAAGACCCTGCGTCAATGACAATGGATGAGTTCAAGTGCGAAGAAATTAACTTTCTCCTTGGTTGGCTACAAGAAAACAGCTTTGAACAATTGAAGAGTTTCTGAAGGAAAGAAAAACTTTGTGATTCCAAAATTACAAAATGCTGTAGCTTTCAAATCCGTACATGGGGTGGGGTATTTGAACAACAATTTTTCCCAATATGTGGTGTATTTGAACAGGAATTACAAATATATGTAGGGAATTTGATCTGACCAAAATGTCAAAATCCAAATTCCCGGGGTATGCTGGGGGGGAGGGGGTGTCAAGGTTTCGATTTGATTTGTGCATAGCTCACAGTCTACCTCGCATCTGCTTCACGTCAGTTCTGTTTCTGTCTATCTATTCACAATGTAACCAGTCACTGAAAAACCCTGATAGGGAGTGTACTGTGCAATATATATATATATATATATATATCTGTACTTTTATACTCTTTCATCCTAAACACCAATACACCATACTATATATGTATTTTACTAGAGTAAAACTAGAGTCTCATCCTAAATATCACGTGAGACCTAATCAGTGGACCTAATCTATGCAAATACTACAAAGCAACTGTTCCAAATACCTGTGATAAGCGCAACTTTTCCCTGGAATTTTTTGCAACATTCTCCCGTTTGAGCCGCCATTTTGACACGCGTTGTACACGTGTTTGCCCACCGTGCTTCCACTTCAATATTGGAAATTTCGAAAATTCTAATGCACACACCTCTCTACCTAATACAGCACCTCTCTAATGCATATCCATTGCTTATCTGTATGAACACATCAATTGACAGCTTGCTGTACCATATTAGAGAACACAGTGTGTGCACACTAGAAATCAGCAGGCAGAGTGGGGATTACATTTCTATTTGCCAGCAAGTCAAGACTACTACAGTATATGCATTTCTTCATGTGCAGGCCTTAAAATATCTTTTACAGGCCCGTCTGACATAATGTCCGGTGACGTTGAGTTTGGGTCGGACATATGTCCGATGACCTTCAGTTCAGTTTTGACTCGGAAATAAATCCGAATGACACAAATGAATAATGGTAAATGTTGTAAAGATATTAAATAATTTGTTTCTTTCATACTTATTTCCTCGCCAAAATTAACTTGCTTGCCAGAACAGCAGTATTAAAAAAGATTTCGACCATTTCGCTCGCCTACGTTAAAACAACATTTCCAGTTCACCTTTTGTACAATAGTACTCTGATTTTCCATTTAGCGTACAAGCCTCTAGTCCTGGACTAGGGTACATTATGTCTGACAAAGCACGAGGTTACAGTTCAGTCGGACACCAATACACTCGGGTCGGACAAACAAAACACCTCGGTTTCATTTTGGTCGGACAGAATGTCCGGTGGTTTCCTCTCTACATCGGACAATGTCCGTGACCGACCGATATTTTAAGGCCTGATGTGTTGTCGGCAGTCCCTCCTTTCCCCTTGCACGCCCGGGAAGCTAAACCCGCAGAAAGGAGGGACCACTTGCAGTCTATATTAATTAAACCATATCTACTAAAATTTGCACAAACTGTACCAATGCATGTGCAAATTAACGCATCTTTACTGCAGTGATAACGGACACTGAATAGTTTTATCTTAATAATTTATTTTGTTTTCTGTGTCAAAAATGCTATAAATGTTTTTAGACATTCTTCGTTTAGTATAAGTGACTTAGTTTCTGGTGGCAAAACTTCATAAAATGTCTTGCGTCCTTTCCTAAATGGGTCCGAGTTTGCATCATAGAGAGTTTTAAAATTCTCAAACCATGCAATATTTTTAATACCAAAGTCTTCTTGCAATGACAGTGTGTTTAGTTGGTATGCCATAAACGTACACACCCGACCATTTGTGATAATGCATTTAGTTGTCATTGGTTTGTCGAGATGTTGCCCCGGGTGGTAGCCTTGTTTCATTGCCATGGCAACCAGTTGACTGAACATAACATGTATCCCATGATGCAACATTTGTTCTTGGTTTCGACTCATGAAATCTGAAAGAAACATGGTGGCTGGGTACGGTGTCTTGTGGCCCGAGTTGTAACCAGGGGAGTTTGGTAGGTGATTGGTCGGGTGTCTGAATACGCCAAGATCCACTGGGTGATAGGGTCCTGGTAGGTCAATGGCTATTGTGCTGTTAACATCTAAAATTATCAAGCAATATAAATTAATTACTACCGGTAATCATTTAAGTGACATTTGGCCCCCCTTGTCTTATCACTAGTGATACCCAGAACCCAATGCTTTACCTTGTTCAAACAATGGAAGAGGCTTTGCCATACGTAAGACATAACCAGGACTAAATGTGGTTTGATAAAAGTTATGATCACGACACCAATGTGTACTTATACACGGTTGAAAGTCGAGAAAACTGTCTTGTACATTATCTGCTAAATGCCAACATTGTAACAGCAAACTTGGAAATAAGCTTTCTAGCAAGTCAGCATCATAATTCATCTTCCATTTCACGCCTATCTTTTGGGAAGCTATGGTTTGCAAGAATGACTTTTCCATCCTTTCTTTAAGGAATGTAAACTGCCCTTTTGACAAGTCGTCCTGGCTAAATATGGAGGCAGGCAAGCCTTCTCTTAAACAGGTTTTTGTGAGCCACTGTGCCTTCAAATCTGCCTGAAAACTGGTCACCTTTGGGTGGACAACATAAGCTTTCTTCACAACAAAAGGTCGTATGATAATAGGAATTCCAGTATGTGGTATTTCAAATTTAGAAACGCTTTTTACTAAAGTTTGTGCAATTTTGGCGGCCATCTTGGAAATTTCACACGTGGTGCTTCCACTTATTGCTCCACAATTTTTTTCTTAAAGTGGCTACCATAGGTGGCTACACCTCTATGGGCTACACGGTGTTGGCCGATGACCGTATAAAACTATAACTGGAAAACGTATTCGATGTTTTCACCACAATGTGAATACCGTATAAAGTTAGTTGGCTTATTGAATTCAAAACGATGACCTAACCAGTTGAAACCAGTCGTAATTTTCAAATCAGCGCTGGACAATTTAATTTTATAGTGAAATCGACTGTAATGGATATCTATGGAACAGAAACATTAACCGGAAGTTGTTGTTTTCCATATATGGTATGTGCTTTGCAGGGGCCATAGGGACCCCCCTATAAGTGAAACGAAGGCAGGGTATATAAAGAAGGCCTTCGAGAGAACAGGTCGGCTCTGAAGAAGCCCAAAGAACGGGATAAGTTAGTGCTGTGTGTTAAATGCCTGTACAAAATGGCAACCAGTCAAAGTAATGTGGTAAGGGTCTCAAAATGTACGATATGTGTTCTTCGGGTTTTATTTTGTGCGATTTTCTATTAAACGTGATACATTTGTGTATATATTAATTTGTAGTCAAAAGTCTACAAGAGTGTTATCGACGAAGTCGTAAAAAATGTTCGTGAGGCTTTTCTCAACGACGGAGTTGATGAACAGGTCTTACAGGAATTAAAACAGGTATATAAACTGGCAAAAATCGGAAGACTTCTATGCAAAATATTGCTGCAAAGTTCTCGCAATCAGCTGAAGTGCTCTGATGCGAAAAAAAAACATTTTACTTGTTTCAAAAAGACAACAGCATCAAATTGTTCATATATAAACAGCATTAAAATTGCCTTTTGAGCTAATTTAGCATACATTTTAAGCAATTGACTCTTAATCGCAACGGAATCTTTGTCCATTCAATGCGAAATGAGTCATCTGCCTTTGCGCTTTAAGATTCGAGTAAGCAAAGCCGAAGGTCAACAAATAATGTAAGTGAATTCGCCAAATTATTCCATTCGAACGCCTTTCTTCATTCTAATATTTGCCAAGAATCGGTCTCGATCGAATTAGATTTTCGTTTCTTTATCTTTTATGAACGATCATCCGGTATTTTCAGGAATACAATCGTTTGAATTGTCCAAAGCTGTTATGTCGTTCGGCCATCATGGATTTATTTGTGCAAGGCAAGCCGTCCGACATATTTATATGTGATTCCGTTCGTGAGACACGTGACCCAGCGCGCATGGAATTTTGGGTAATACTTGCAGTTCGGGGTTTTCCCTGAGTTAATTTATATCTTTGAAATTGACACCTGCTTTTCTATTTTAGATTTGGGAGAGCAAAGTGACCCAGTCAGAAGCAGTTTCTGTTCCAGAACCAAAGCCGAGAGTACTTGCACAAAATCCGCAAGACAATTCACAGCATCAACGCAATGTTGTTGGTAAACATACACAGCAGATTCCCATGCAACCAGCAATTGTTAGTCCAGCAATTGTTAATCCAGCAATTGTTAATCCAGCAATTGTTAATCCAGCACCTGTTCCAGGTAGACTGACTTGAGGGGTTTTCCTTACAAATTAAAAAAAAACGGTGGTAGACACCATGCAGCAACGTGACATGTCTGGCAAGTTCCTTGACATGTCTGGCATTGACTAAGTAAATAATAAAGTCAGAGCACATTGCAGCTTACAGTGCCGTCTACTGTAAGTGGGGCCACTTAGAGAATAGTAACCAATCGCATTGCAGAACAAAAAATAAATCTAATCAAACTAAAGCTCGTCCAATCAAAAGAAAGATTCAGGATGCCATTAACTGCAGTGTTTACTTTTACAAGTCTATTTTTACCGTTTGACATTCGTTTATTTGTTCAAATTGTTTTTGGCCTAATGCTGATTGGCTAATGCGCCGTTTCTTTATTTTTCAATTTCTGTTCTGCAATGTGATTGGTTAGTGTTCTCTAAGTGGCCCCACTTACTGTAGACGCACTGTAATGGGTTCATATTGGCAATACATTAGCAGATAGTTTAGTGAACCATTAACCCATTGAATGCTATTCAAGGGCAGATTTTCATTTTTTTAAAAGGAGGGGTGGAAAAATTTCTAGTGGGTTGCAAGCGGTAGCACTGAGCATTAGGGTTAAAGATTGCCTTACTAAAATGTAGGCCTTAAAATATCTTTTACATGGCCGTCCGACAAAATGTCTGATGACAGTTTGGGTCGGACATATGTCCGATCGATGACTCTCAGTTCAGTTTTGACTCGGAAATAAGTCTGAATGACACAAATGAATATCAGCACAATGTATTAATTCTGAACGGTATATGTTGTGAAGATATTAAATAATTTGTGTCATTCATACTTATTTCCAAGCCAAAAATAACTTGCTTGCAAGAACAGCAGCCGACTTTGACAACTTAAGCCCGTTTTCCACTTCACCATTTCGCTCGCACGTTGCCGCCCCGCGCTCGATTAGCTACGTTAAAACAACATTTCCAGTTCACTTTTTATACAATACTCAATAGTCCTCTGATTTTCCAATTAACATACAAGCCTTACTGCTGATTGATTTACGTTGGACAAAGCTACAGTTCGGTCGGACACCAATATACTCGGGTCGGACAAACAGTAAACCTCAGTTTCACTTAGGTCGGACAGAATGTCCGGTGGCTTCCTCTCTACGTCGGACAATTTCACGAATGGGTCGGACAATGTCCGTGACCGACCGATATTTTAAGGCCTGCTAAAATGATAAAATAGTAGGGGTGAAGCAAAATTTTGGTGGGGTTGAATGGTTACTGTCGTTCCAATTGAAGTGTTCCTCAAATATTGATTCAATACATTACCTCGGGCTGATCAATTCATTTGATCAAGTTCCTAGAAATATTCATACACTTCCTAGTGTAATTGTAAACTTCCTGTTGAATAGTTTGAATGCACCAATCACCTTTGTTGTTTGTGCAACTAACCAATCATAAATAGAAAGGAAGTGACCAAAAATGATCAAATTCTTGGAATTGGCTCTTTCACAGGAAGTGTATGAATATTTCGAGGAACTTGATCAAATGAATTGGTCAGCCTGAGGTAATGTAGTGAATCAATATTTGAGGAACACTTCAATTGGAACGACAGTAAGAAGAGGGGTTAGAGAGATTCTAGGGGGCCAGTGAATCTGTCCATGATGTTCATTGCTCTCCCTGTGACAAGAAAAATTGTCTGGCATTAGACAGAGTAAAATCGTTTGCTATTACACAGAATAAAATAATAAAGTTGGCCACAATGTCACTTGATGCTTAATAGTATGCATGCGATCAGTACAAATGTCTGGCATGTTAGATGTAAAGTAATAAAGAGTAATATAAAGTAAAATAATGGAGTAAAATAATAAAGTAAGGTTATCTTGTAGACAAGCATATACACACAAACAAAATGAATAAAAAATATATAAAGCTTGTGGCACGGGCAATACAGATTGAAATGTTTGTATTTTTTCTTTATTTTACAGCCAAACAACAAGGTCAACATTTTATCACTACACATCCTCAGTACATGCAACAACCACATGGCCAGTACCACACTACCACGCAGATAATGGTCCCAGGCACTAGTATCACCACCATCCCACAGCAGGTGAAATTTGATCTCATTTTATTTTATTTATTACCAATGTACAAAGATTCAACAAATTCTTCATATATTTTCATTTGTGAATTGTTTTAGATCCCACAAACATCCCAAACAAACCAACAACCAATACGCCCAGGTACTTACTACATTAAAATATAACACTGAATAAAAGACAAGCATAATTACATGCTTAACTGTCAAAGTCCACGAGTCTGGCATTGAAAAAAAATAGGTACGCAATGCGTACATGTGGCTAGCCTGGTAAACTTAACTCCCCAAACCCTCCTCCAAACCCAGAAAGCCTGCCATGCTGGTTAACTGACACACCACGATGGTCAGAATGCGAAAATTTTCTCCCACTTGTGCGGGCTCATTTTGTCAGTGGAGTTTCACGGTATACTTGAATAACACTTGAATAAACACAAATATGTGAATTTGCACGCTAGGCTTTTGAATTTAACGATTGTAAAAAGTTTCCGTGTGATCTATTAGCAATTTAAAAAATACCTAAACTGTAATACTGCCATATATTTAATCTCGCGTTTGTTATTTTCTCAGCAGCAGTTTTGCCGTGGAATTAAAATTGCGTGTCATATGATATTTTAATAGGCAAATAGCGTTTGAGATATAGGCCTAGCAATATTAGCAAACAAATACACTGAAATCTTGGTTAGCACACCAACTTTTACCACTTTTAATGCAATATTAGTCAACTTATAAGAGAACGTGAGACAAATCATGCTGAATTATTCGACTATATAACTCCTAAGACAGACAGACGCAATAATCCTTTATAGGTTTATTACAAATATGTAGACATTTGAGACGCCGTCAATGTCTGAAGAAAAGGTATACTTAAAGCCTTCAAATAAACGAGTTCGATGCACAGTTTCTGGTCTTTTACCATAATTATCCAATGCTGGTTTTATTCGCTGCATTATAAACCTCCTCCAAACAATACCCTTCTTTAAAATACCAAACATTTCGAATGCAATTGAGATATGAAATCTCAACAAGAAGACAATTCAAGATGGGAAATGGCCCGCAAATCAGTCAAAAGTGCAAATCAAAACCCATATTTACACGGCGAGTACGCACAATTTCTGATCGGTTTCGACACCATAGGTTGAAGCCATGAAGATAAACTTTATTTTAATTTTCTGGTTTAACAACCTCACTAGTACTGCGTCGTAACAACATCACTAGTATTGCCTCGAAATGCAAATGTGAAATGTCGGCAGAAAAATACGGGCGCTTCCGATACTTTACGAAAATCCGGACTGGACACCATGATCATCATCGCTCATCGCGTTTGTGTACTATGTGATAATGGCTAGCCCGCAAACGGGCTAGCCACAAAAAGTAAACAATAATGTAGAATGCATTAAGGTACATTACTCCCAACTTCAAAATGGCCTTGTGGGTATCTTGTGCTACAAAATAGCATATATAATCATTCCTTTGATCCCCGAAATTATTGATGTGTTTTGTGTGCTTTGTTATAGCATATCATGGTCTTTCTGTGTCAGCAATTCAGCCAACCCATCAGACGATGCAGCCAACCCATCAGACGATGCAGCCAACCCATCAGACGATGCAGAATCTTCATAATCCACATGTGACTACGCAACAGCAAACATCGGTTAGTCTTATTATTATCTCTAAGACCAAGGATAAATTTCAGTAAGGACCTTTGAAGCAAACAAGATGGCAAGATCTCCAGCTTAGGTCAAAGTAGAGCTCCCTTTGAGGAGACTGAGGAGTAAAATTGTCCGGCATTAGACAGAGTAATATAACAAAGTATGGTGCATTAGGGTGCAGTGCAACTTACTGGGGTAGTAGTAGAACTATATTTATACATGCTGACCCCGTCAACCATAACTGATTTCCATGGGGGCGTGTAAAAGGGTAGCTAGACACATGGGCAGATAGTCTGATTATTATTAATTAAACCCCAAGAACCTTTTGAATCTTCAGTGACTTTTTTGATATTACAGAGACCTTCAGTGATCATACAGTTGGATGGACCTAATGATAGCGACAGTGATGATGACGACGATGATGATGATTTTAATGATCTTAGTCATGATGATGATGGTGAAGATAAACCTCAGGTCTCTTGAATGAATAAGTCATAATAGTCATCAGGGTGTTGTCGTAGTTATATTGACTTGTTTGCAAGGCTTTACAGTCTACTCGGTGCACTAACCAACTTGGCCCACCGTTCAAGGACACACTCATAAACTGACTAATCTAACCATTGAACAAGCTAGGAGCCATGATGATGACTATGTCTATCTTTGCAAATTTTGAGAGAGATTTGAAAAATCAATAATTTAGTAAAACGGACAGATCGAGAATTTGAAACATTGATAGATTCTTTAAATTAAGTCAAACTGGAGATTCTCTTGTGATATTGATTTAGAAATTGCTCAGAGCCAATTGCAATCAAACTTTACTCATCTGTACGCCCAATGCATCTGCAAATGGCTGTATCGGTTTGGTGCTGCTTTTTGTAAAATATTAATAAGCTTCCCTAATATGTCAAACAGTAGTTAACTATAGGGCCGAGATGGTATGGGCCGAGATGGTTAATGGGCCGAGTTGGTTAATGGGCCGAGTTGACCAGTTTCCTTTGCAAGGTTTGATTTCGTTTTAGATCGTAAACTTTGCCGGTCCGATTTATAGCACATTCTGAGGTCTGCGTGTTTATTTTGAACGCTGTCTCTTTAGGAAGACGGAGACCCGTTAAATTCTGAAGACGACGTGTCCGACGATGACAGCTCGGATCTTTTTGATACAGATAACGTTGTTGTTTGTCAGTTCGATCGGGTATGTGTTTCTAACATTCATCCCCCAAGCCATTATCCTTCACCACTGCGGCTTGGCCACTAGAAAGGGAAGAGATTATTTCGCTGGCCTCAAAGTGACAAAACGTAACAAAGCAACGGTTTTACTAACACTAACCCTACTCCAAACATCAACTCTAACCGTAATCCTAACCCTAACCCAACCCTACTCCAAATTTGTTTCTAAACCAATCTTGAAGAAAAAAAGTTTTGACGAAATGTTATTCTGAGGTCAGCGAAATAGTTGATTCCACTAGAAAGCCTGCCACTGATCCTGAGTGAAATCTGGATAGGTCCCTTGTCTGTTTGTTTCATGGTAAAATATTCAAAATAGGATAAACTGTTCTCGTGATTCTACTATAAGGAAAACGGGATGGCCCAATCATGATTCATTAGTACTGAAAAGGAAGTCAGTTGAATATTTTTAGGTAATGAAGTGTATCTCAAAGTAAATTAAATTTATAATCTACTTTTCTTTTTACCACAGATTACAAGAAGTAAAAACAAGTGGAAGTTTCATCTGAAAGATGGTATCATGAACTTGAATACTAAAGATTATGTGTTCACAAAAGCAACTGGGGAAGCTGAATGGTAGTGGTTGTGTTGGGTATTTTAGAATTTAGATCAGTATACCGTATTACTCAAAATTGATTGAAACCACTTGAGGCTACTAATTGTTGCAAATTAGTTCCCTCTTGCGGACGGGGGCAGCCAATACTATATGGCATTGTTACTAATTTTGTTGTGAAAAACATATGCAACGTGTTAGGTATTGGTAAAATTCTCGATCCATAACTGCCCGGATTTTCCTCGATCGTTGGGTTGAAGTCTTGCCTTACATTGGGCCATAGTTAATCGGGCGTATTGGCCGTATTATATATTAGAGACGTCTGCACGAGTTAAACGCCTTGTGTAGTTGTGTTAAGTGCAACTAATATGAACCATAGAAATCTTATGATATGAACTAGCATGAAACCACAAAAATATAAAATACAAAGGTTCAGATTTGACTTCAATATCCTCTCACAAGCTTAATACGCATTTGATTGGTCCATCGGGTAGAATATAAATGCATCTGATTGGTTAATGGTAGCGGTTGTGGAAGTCAAACTCTGAACTTCCCCAATATTTCGATTTGACAACAATTTAGAGTGTTTGTTTTCTAAGTGCGTCCAAATATAGTCCTCTCGTGTTTAACTATCTTATTTTCCGTCTTTATATTAGACTACAGACTACTAAGTTGTCCAAAAGGCGTTAAATACGTCTTCTAATATAGATACGCCATTCCACTGATGAAGATCTGGGCTCTACGGCTTGAATACTTTGCCATATAATTAAACGTTGTGTTTTTCACAAAAAAAACAACAATTACTTATCGCCATGCGAACGGCTAAAAGAAGAAAAATCCATTAAACACTGACAGTATTACAGAAAGTACAAAGTGAAGCAAAGCAGGTGAAAAGCACCTACTGAAACTAAATATATGAGCAATGAAAAAGAAGACAAGTTTAATAAGGTATAATTTCGTTCGGTATAAAAGGTTTGGGTTGAAACCTATTTTGTAATAGAAGAATTTAGCAACATATGAAAACGCCATGAAAAGTTCTGAATCTATATTGAAAAGTTCGGATGAAGGCGTTAAAAAAGTTCAATTTTTAATGTTATTGTCATATCCACGGTCATGGGCGTACCGGAAGGAAAAAATTAGGGGGGCTGAAAGAAATTTGCCCGACTTTTCCGGATTGTGCCCGACTAGTACCTAAAAACATTTTTCCGGAAAAATTATTTCGGCGACCCCCCCCCGGCCCCCCGTCGCCAAAAAATTTTCGGTCAGTGTACCATTTTAAGGGTCAAAAAAATTTTCCGGACATACCTAAATTTTTCGGAACTTCACACAAATTTTCCAAACATCACAAAATTGATCACAAAATTGACTGAATTTTCGACTAAATTGACAGAATTTGTCCCATTTATTTTTATTACAAACCAAAATTGCCCGACTGTTGATCGAATATTGCCCGACTGCCCAAAAAACTGGGGGGGCTACCGCCCCCCCCGCCCGGTACGCCTATGTCCACGGTGGTCAAACGCCAAGTGAAGAATTGAAAGTGACGTCGATGACGGGACCTGAGGATAATAGCTGAGGCCACACAACAAAAGCAAAGAAGGACTAAAGACGCATGTGCAAGTTCGTCGACAAGACGAAATTCAAGATTGACATGATATGGGTATGCTAGAGAAAGAGCCATAGTATATCACGCGATGGGTAATGAAAGGAAAGAAAGATGGGAAACGACTACGCAGTAGATAAGGGTAAGGTTGGATAAGGTTGTAAATAGATCATCGTTTTGTTAAGAAATAACATTGCAGCCAAAGCCTTTTGAAACATTTTAGCTGGGAGTGCCAAGGCATTTCGTCTAAAGTCCTGAATAGATGTGTCCTCCTCCGTGGTGCCTAAATTACTTCGAATTTGTACTCGAGTAAAAGTAGAAGTAATTGACAATAAAACGACTTGAATAAGAGTAAAAAGTACTGGAGGCAAAACGTACTTAAGTAAAAAGTATAAAGTATCCTTAAAAAATACTTGAAGAATGAAAGTACAAAGTAAAAGTACTATTATTGTCTGTAGCGTGTAAGGGGGACTTCTCCATTGATGGATTGAGATACAAAAAAAAACACAAAACGGCACACACATTATAAATGTGCAATATTTCACGGCATGGTCTACTTTCTAGACCCCGTTGAAGATATAAGAAACTATTAATAAATTTAATACTGGAACGTAAGCCACAAACGAGGGATCCCAGACCCATGCACAGGTCCTATTATACCTATCCCAAAATTAAAATCACGTAAAATTAAACAAAAGTTAGTATGCAACGAAATACTTCGCCACAAAATGAAAATATTTAAACGTAAAACGTTTTAAGTAAAACGTTGCTTCTTAAAACAACTTCGTTCCAAGTAAAAGTACTCCAGAAAAAGTTTACTTTGTTACATGCTAGCCTCCTCCGAGAACTTATATAATTCATTTAGTTATTCAAATAACTGATGTTCTTATTGGGTTAGGTAAGTACCACGAGGCACGAGATGCCTGCGGAGCGAAGTACATTTACTTCGTTACTTGACACCACTGGTCCTCCTAGGATATGTTTAGCTATGAACTTCAGTCCTTCTGTGCCTAAAGTGAAATCTGAAATATTTCAAATGTAGCGTCACAAGGTACTCGCTAAGGCAAGCGAGTTCCAATATTTCGTATACGGTACAACCATAGGTACACATCTGATGCACGATATATTTCTTGGGAATAACAGGCACAAAATTGTGACCGGTCACACGGGTCACACGGTCACAAATAGAAAATCACTTCCGGCTAAACACACGGCCATGAGCAAGTAGCAACGCGAACCTAGAACGGTTTTACACAGGCTACGCGAACCATGAAAGATGATTTTTGGCAGGTTTTAGAAACGTAGGTAACCCATATTAATAAGTTGGTCCTCTATGGTTGGTCGCTTCACTATATATGTGTGGTCTTTAAGTGGTTTTGATCGTTCAAAGTTGTTTTCGGCGGCATTTATAAGATGCCAAATTGGCAATGAGAGATATGATATTTGTAACATTCCTGTACCGAAAATATAAAGGTTCGAAGCCAATAAAAGCGCCAACACTTTCCATATATTAAACGTCGATGACTGGACACAGGTCGACGTCGTCGATGCCGATGGCTGGACACTAGTAGACGTCGATGGCTGGACACAGGTAGATTTCGATGGCTGGACACTAGTAGACGTCAATGGCTGGAGACTAGTTGTAGACGTAGATGGCTGGCTTCCAGATCCCATCTGCTACCCAAAGCTTTCCGCATCCTTAATTGTTAAAAGAACATCTTATTTAGAGAGAATATATACATGAAGAATATAGAGATAGTTCTGGATCAATAGACACAATGTCAGTTCTTACCACGCTCCTTACAAACATCCGAACATTCTTCTTGTGGATGTTCGTAGATAGTTTTTGCTCGAATCTTATCAATCTCCGTCATGACTTCCTCTCTATCTTTATCTGTTCTTAACTTTCCAAAAAAGTCCAGAACGCCGAGCTCTCTCAACTCATTCTCCAGCTCGCCATTCCAAAATGCTGCAGCCACCTGTTTTTCTCCAAAATCTATTTAGACACAAATGAATGTTATATTTTTAGGATTAGTGATTATTAATTGTTATACATCCAAAAACATAGACATATGTTACCCAGTTTTCAATTCATAGAAACATTTGGTAAATTTTATGGTACAAGTTTTCCACATTGCATTTCAATCCATTGTTTCACACTGGCGTGACTTCGCGGAATTTCGGTCAGAGTACTTTGAAATACAACCTTGCGATAATTACGTCATTTGGCCTACAAGCCTCGCTCTCATGAATCATGAGTCAATCGTCTTTTACTGATGAGAGCGAATAGTCGTGGCGTAATTATCGAAGGGGGTCTACCGTAAACCTCCGGCTATAAGCCCTTGGCTTATATTCTTTCGTAAGCGATTTTTGATGGGCTTATAAAAGGGGGTACTTATATACTGGGGGCTTATACATGAACGATCTTTTGTGTTAGTGTAATAGTGATAAACAAATATAGTAATAGTGATAAACAAGTGTTAAGCATAGTAATAATAGTGATTAATAGTGGTAATAGTGATAAGCAATAAATGGTGATAACTGATAAACAAGTGTCCTTATATTCGGGGGGGGGGCTTAGATTTGGAATGAGGTGAGCGTTAGTACATGTGGTGGGCTTATACATAGGGGGGGGCTTATATTCTGAGGTTTACGGTATTGTTTTAGTATGCTACTGGCCGGATGATGTAGCTCAAGAGGCACATGCGTACGTGGGCAAGCTTTTGTACTTACTTCCTTCGTGAACTTCATTATAGGCCTCTGAGAATCCGTTAAATGATACCCATGAATGACAACTGCAACCGAATATACAATATACATTTATACCTTTCTCCCTTAGTTTGTTTCATTTTTACTTCTTCGCTGTGTGTGTTTTATTGCATTCGCGTGTGCTACACGATATCCGTTTTTATCGATTTTCTAACTGAAAGAACTTTTCTGACTTTATATTAGTCTTCAATATAGAAAGACTATAACTGAAAATAGGCTGAGATTTTGTTGGCATCACTAATATAGTTGAAAGGAGTTATTGGTGGAAAGTATCGAGTGGAATTTATATACATTTATAAGACCTGTTCAGAAACAGCTGCGAAAAACACAACAATCGGTCCCCTGACAGGAATCGAACTGGCCTCTGTAACTCGGTTAGAGCGCCGCACCGGAACCGCAGGGCAGAACCACGCAGGTTCGATTCCTGTCAGGGACAGATAGTTGTGTTTTTCGCTGCTGTTCCTGAACAGGTCTTATAAATTCCACTCGATAATTTCCACATATAACTCTTATAACTGAAAATAATTCTGAGACTACTAAAGACCAGTCGGGTTCAGCAAGTCTAACGAAACGCAATGGGCGAACTTGACAGGTCTGGTACGTCCTGGATTTTCAGACTAAGCCTATAGTATCCGCGATCTCATTCAGTGATATATGATAGTGACTACTGAGTAATGTGCAAACTAAAAAACAACTTACGCTAGAGATATTTGCCACTTTAACAGCGACCGATCCACAAAACATACATCTGATGCCTCAACTGCGCTTCGAACTGGACTCAGGGTACAATTTCCAGCCATCCGTTGGGTTGCCAAATTTTGCGTAGCCATAAAGTTTACTGCACTTATTGCATTTGAGGGAAATTTTTATACCTTCGTTTGTCCCATTCAGAGTATTATACTTGATCTCTACGGGATCGTTGTGACGTACAAGATTTGAGTCGCATTCAAGACAACGATTGCATGGGGGTGCAAAAACGTGGACCTGACTGGTGTTTGAGCCGAAATGGTTGGGCATGTTCGACAAGCATTGATAAATGCTATTTGCTTCATCCTCAGGCAATGAAGGACATAGTAGCTTCAGGACTTCACGACGGACAGACGTAGGTAAAACGCGCAATGATGGTACAACACAAGCCAGAGCACAAACGACGGATACACTAAATTTGACAATCAGAGCACAAAGAATAACGACAACAGGAAGATTTTCTACTGCATCCAGCTTGATGGAACCAAGATCGTTCAAGATTTTGGCAGCGGTTACCTCTTGGTTTACTTCTTTTTCAGCTTTATCGCGCAAACTTTCCACGGAGAAGGTATCGGGTTTTGAGAGATACCTGACTTACTGGTGTCGGCACTGGTGACTAAACAAGTTGAACTGGTGAACGTACTTAGAGAAGCACTATAACTAAACTCGCCGAAATCGAACCCCCACGATGCTCATGATAAATAAATTATTAAATACTTCAAACAAAGCTTGAAGACATTTGTTACAAGTCGAAATACATTATACAAGATCCTTCCTTCCGTTTTTGTAGTTCGTTAATACCGCGGGTTAAATAACTGTCAATCACTGAAGCCTTTTCAATAAACTATTCCAGTATATTAAGAATCATAAAAATCAGCCAGTTTCTTCTAGACAATGAATTAAAAGTTGTTTACAACATAGTCGTAGAAGCATCAGTTTTAAAACGAAGAGCACCAAGCCAGATTTAATATGTACGGTACACTTTTAATAGCTATTAGTATTAAGGAGAAACAATGGCAATTTAAAAACATGTTTCTCCTATTTTAAATATCATAAAATTTGAAAACAAAGCAGTTTTCAATGCATGTTTACTTTAGTTCGGCTGCCAGCCGGTTAATGGCTGCAAGCAATTAGCATGCAGCATGTATAAACAACGTTTTAAAACAAAACTAGAAGAGAACATGACTTAAAATAATTATTTAAGTTTTTATCATTAGCAGTCCGCCGGTCCAGCTGAGTGGCCCGTATATACTGTTGGTTTAGACAGCTCAGGAACCAATCCAAATGCTACCTACATTTTGTGTGATTTTGCAGATGGACCAGCTTGTTCATTAACACCGCATGGTCACAGGCCACACACATAGATAGAGCATTATACTTTATAGATATCTGTTTGGCTTATTTTGTTTTGACTGTTTCCGACAATTATTGAATGTTTATATACAGTTTGTTATTGTAGCATGTTTCCTGTCTTGAATGCTTGGAGTTTCCAAGCTCATGCTAGAATGCAAGCGGCAAGCCAAGCATGTCGCGGTCACATTCAAAAAAGCAACGTTTGCTTGCTTGCTGTTGTTGACAGATATAAATTAAAAACCTATCTAATAATGTAAAGTCCATTATATTGTAGGCAACGAATATACATTATTCTTGTGATTTCGTAGGCCTAACTAAGTTAAGACTTTAGAAAATATAGAGAAATGTGTCTTTGTCCTTGGTTCGGGCGAAAATCGCTTGCCCGATCGTTATTCATGATCAAATTCATATTATATGTATTAAATAGGGATGTTAACATCGTATATTATATAATTGCAAGGGCAAGAACTAAATTACTTTGAATTTGGTTTCTGCTTCAGGTTTCCATACTGCATACAGAAATACCGTTTATTCATTCGACTTTTCACTGCTTAGCGCGTTGTTGTGCAAGCAAAATAGTTCTAATCTACCGCTTTCTGTCTCTATTCAAATTAAAAATGACATGTTGAAATTACTTGTCTATTTGCCTCCTAAAAGTCAACATTTTACTTGGCTGAATTATTTAATCCACTTGAGATCCACATTCTAGCACGATTCAAACATACCTGTAGTGGAGTTTAGGTTTTTGTCGAGGGTCCAATGTCGAGGGTGAGGGTAAAAAGTCGAGGGTGAGGGTAAAAAGTCGAGGGTGAGGGTAAAAAGTCGAGGGTCGAAATTTGCGGGCAAAATAACTT